GAAGCGTCTTAGAAGAATATTTCGTCTGCCCGGACCAGGATCTACTGGTTTTGAAGATTTTATATCAGACGAACAATTGTGTCTAGATATCAAGCGCCTAGCATACTCGACAGTTCTGAACAACCCAACTCAGTTCAAACGACGTTTCCTGCCTTCAATCTGGCACTTACTGTTCTCTATCTTGAATAGATGTATGACGTCAAAAACAGCGGGCATAGATACATGCAGTAGCTCATTTCTGAAATTCTTTCATGGTGTAGTCTTTTCAAGAAATTATGACTTCGCCTTAGTCATGTGGAATGAGTTGGAAGAGCTAGTCAATGCGAAGAGATTCCCGTCAAAAGCTCGAAAATTTGTGCCATTCCAGAGATTTCTACAATTATTCATTAAAGCCATGATGAATGCTAATGAGGATATTCCGGCCAAATCCAGTTTTGAAAAAGGGCCAACATTCACCATGACATTCATCCGTTGAATGTTAGTATTGAACAAGCCATGGCTAGCCCAGCTATGCATTTGCACACCCCTCCTATCCAYTCAATTGGTTCTCAACAACCAATTGTTTCAATTTCACATGGGGATATAGCTCATATGCTAACTACTTCTCATTTGGAGAATGTAGTTATTGAAACAAGTAGGCCGCTGCCCCAGCCTACGACTTCGATTCTGTGCACCTCGAGTCTAGAGCCGATACACATAGGTACACATGAGTCAGGAGCATATGTTGCTCCAAGTGCAGTTCTTAGTGAACTAGCTGCAACGACCAGAGTGATGTCTTTTGACATTTCACAAGGACAGGTCGGAAGCCCTACCAATGCTAATATTATGCCAACATTGAACGTAGGCACAACAGTTTATTCAATTGTTGTTATAACTGGTATTCTAAGTGAACCGAGAGTTACTTTACCCGACTTCGTGTCAAGGGAATACCTGGACGGTGCCCTAAAGGCTGTTCAAGACAATATGGATGCTCACATGGCTAGTCTCAAAAGAATTTTGAAGGGGAAGGAGGTTATAGAAGAAGAGACACCATCTGTACCAGATCAATCGGTGGATGAGCTGAAATTGTTGTTGTATGCCAAATTAATGGCATCTCAGAATCCAGATGCTGAGGACGCAGATTTGGTCGGTATCTTACGTCAACAATTAGACGTGAACCACTTTGTTAGAGCCTCAGAGTTTTTGGCTTTTCAAGATGTGGTTACTTCTAGCTTTTCCAAAGTTAGCAAGTTGATCACATCTAACACCCAAGATCTTAAAAGTTCAATAGACGCCCTAGCTGAACGGGTGTCTACCTTAGAAGAAACCTGCAGGTCTCAGGCCATATCTCTCAAAAGAAGGCATGACGATCAGGACGATCCAGATAGTCATGAGGGGGAGAGAAAGAGACAGAGATTGGCTGAGACTTCTGAACAAGGTGTAAGGGTTTGTGAGGAGACATCAACTCAAGACGTTACTGCTGAAGCTTCTGACCCGAAATCAGTCCGGGAAAGAACAATTGAGGTTATTGAAGTTGTAGATGAAGGTTTGGAGACAAGTCCTACGATCGAGCCAATGGTTGAAAAGCCTGCGGACTCCACTGTAGGAACAAGGATGGTATTGGACTTGTCTGCCAACGTTGGTTTCAACGAAGCGTTCTCTAAAACTCCGGGTGGAGAGCAAGACTTTGGAGAAGACAATGACAATATAGACGAATCGACTGGGATCGATTTTGACTTTGAAGCTGATATAGATGATGAAGATCTAGTCTTTCCTGTTCAAGAAGAACGTCAGTCTGCTCCAGAATCTTCCACTGCAGTCTTATCTGATGTGCTAGATATTCCAGCTCAAAGAGAACATGTTGATCCAACTGAAAATCTTCACCAAAGACTATGTGCCATTTCATACTAGAGCTAACTTTCCTGGATATGATCGAGCAAGGATCCGAGAGCCATATCTTGAAGATATCTACTTTGGAATCTTCATCCGTCATAGACAAATTTTGTACGGTGACAGAGTTCTGGGTATTCATAAGCAGACAAGAGAATATCGTACTGAATACCGTCATCTTCTGAAAGCCAAGTGCCAACCAATCAGTGAAGTTCGTACAAAGCATCGGATTGCGATTAAACAAATAGATGCTCAGAAATTGTTGAGAATCTGGTATCCTGTTTTCACTGTAACAAGGCATGATGGTCAGATTTGGAGATTCAGCGAAGCAGACTTYTYGAACTTATACTTGGATGACCTTGAATATATGTATTTTGAACTCAAAAACATGACGATCAGAAAAGAAGGAGAATTGGTTGCTCTTGAAGCAATCAAGAGATTTATACGCTGTCATGTTAAACTGGCAATGGTCATTGATGTACAGATGGGCCTTGAAGACAATCAGTGAATCATCAATCTTAAAAGACCAAATCAAGACCTAGAAGACATTGAAGGCTATCCAGTGTATATGGTTCTTGAAAGCCAGAGTTCGGGGTCGTCTATTTTGCTCAACTACAAGTAAAGAAGTTCATGAGATTTAGCGAGTTGAATAAGTATTCTGACGGTACGATCAAATTAGTGAGAAGGACACTTGACTTGAAGAGGGTGATGAACGATAAAGCTGCTGAATCTGAACGGATGAGTTCCAAGGAAAGATACTTGCTGATAAATGCGATAAACTTGCTCGAGGAGAAGATCCAATATAGGAATGCTCTAAGAAGATTGGAGAAGATACTTGGACTGCGGAAAACGAAATTCACAAGAGTCCAAACTTGAATCCAAAGGGGGAGAATGTTGGGTTCAAGTTAGAGCGTTAAAGTTGTATTCAAGTTTCTCCTTAGAATAACTTTATTATATAATAGTGTATTTTTACTATTTCCTATTATAAATAGTATTTTCCTTTGTAATTGTCATTACGAAGTCATTAGAAGAATTGTAATCAAGATTAGAGCTGTAAATTTCTCTCTCTCAATCTTTGATAATATTCTCTCTACTTTTATGTTCATCTTGATTCTTGAAGATCATATCATATTTGTATGATTTCTGAACTTCACAATTACAGATTGGCCATTTTGGGGTTTTAAAAACTCAAAATGTTTTGAAGGAACAACTTTATTGGCCTAACATGAAAAGGGATGTTGAACGCATTTGTGGTAGTTGCCTTCAATGCAAGAAGGCGAAATCAAGATCCTTTCCTCGTGGTTTGTATACTCCACTTCCCATTCCTCATTCTCCTTGGACTGATATTTCCATGGATTTCATACTAGGATTACCAAAAACTCAATGAGGAACGAACTCAATTTTTTTTGTTGTTGATCGATTTTCAAAAATGGCATATTTCATTGCTTATAAAAAGACGGATGATGCAAAACACGTGGCTAGCCTGTTTTTCAAAGAAATTGTCCATTTGCATGGTATTACAAGAACGATCATTTTCTGATTGCGATGTAAAGTTTTTAAAGCTAATTTTGGAAAACTCTTTGGGGAAAGCTAGGGACAAAGTTGCTAATTTCTACTTCAAGTCACCCACAGACTGATGGGCAGACTGAAGTAACAAATAGAACATTGGGAACTTTGCTGAGGGCTATCATAAAAAAGAATTTGAAAAGTTGGGAGGAACATTTGCTCGTTGCTGAATTTGCTTACAATCGTACTATTCACTCATCAACCAATTTTTCTCCATTTGAGGTTGTTTATGGTTTTAATTCTACCACACCCTTAGATTTATCTCCTTTGCTTGATTTATCTCCTTTGCCTGTCAAAGAGCAGTTGAATTTAAATGGTGCAAAAAAGGTTGAATTTGTGAAAAAGTTACATGAGCAAGTACATGCAAATATTGAAAGGAAAACTAAAAAATACGTCAAAGAAGCCAACAGGGGGCGTAAGAAAATTGTGTTTGAACCGGGTGATTGGGTATGGGTTCATATGAGGAAGGAAAGGTTTCCAGCTTCAAGACGCACCAAATTACATCCACGTGGTGATGAACCATTTCAAGTAGTCGCCCGTGTTAATGATAATGCCTACAAGTTTGATTTACCAGGTGATTATGGTATAAGTGCCACTTTTAATGTTTTTGATTTGTCTCCATTTGATTTTGATCTAGGTGGTCTCGATTCGAGGACGAATCGTTCTGAAGAGGGAGCGGTTGATGAAAATCCTATCAAAGAAAAAGGAGACAAGCGTGATGGAAATTCAAAGCTCAATGGAAACTCATATGAAGTTGATCCACTTAAAGGAATGGATGGGCCAATGACGCGTGCAAGGAGAAAGCGGATGCAAGAAGCTTTGGTTAATCTCATCATTTCAGCCACTACGGTAGACACAATACCTCAAGCCCGATTGGATAAATTATCTTGTGTTGTTGGGTAAACTTTTACATGTTTGAGTTGTCCTTCAAGGCCCAATATTACATTTTCGTTTTTTTTTTTGCCTTTTATTTAAATAAAAATAGTCTTGAAAGTCAAGTTAGTCATTACGAGGGAAATCCTAAGAGTTTAGGTCTTAAATAATGTCTTTAAGAGCCTTTAATTTTGTACTTAGTAAGGGTCTAGTCATCAAATCAATATATTGTGAGGTTATTCTTTTACTTGTTAGTTCTCTTGATTGAAGGAATTTGGGTCTTGCAAGACTAATAGTGCTTGCAATTCTCACTTAGCTTATCACTAGGTTTCTTCCCCGTAGTGTGGCGCCTTAACTTTAACATCTTGTTTTTTTTGCAACTCAAAGGTGTTGGATTTCATATATGCCTCATTGTTGAGTTTCAATAATAAGGTTGTTGGGTTTCTTGAAAGAGTTTGTGTTTCTTCTTTCAATCTTTGATTGCTTACTTTCTTTGCATTCCAGAGGTTTTGGGTTTTGTATACCTTTCATTGTTGGGTTGAAGAGTAAGAAGTTAAGTTCTTGGAAGTACACGAGATCAAACAAGAACGGTCCAACGTATATTGAAGTCTTCTTTGAAGGTTTCACATCACCTATTTTAATTTATTCTTGAACAGTCAAAAAAGACTAAAGAATTTAGTAAGGATATGATAATACTTCAAAAAAATATAGACAAGAGAAAACATCTCAATTAGATCACCTTCTTTCCGGGATTCACTAGGCTTAAAGCAACTTCAAAAGCAGTATTTGCAGCTGCAATAGCATCAGCTGCTCTACCTGTTACATGAAACCATCTATATGACTAACCATATCACTTAAATCACCCAACAATCGTTTACTCACCAAATCATTAATAAGCACAAAAATCTAGTGTGAAAAATCGTCAAACATATGTTGATCATGATAACACTTACATTTTCAAATATAACCTTCTTCCAATGTTCTCTCATCACTGACATATTGTGTTGTTCCCAGACAAACATGTGGAAATGCAACAGCAACACCCTTTCAATCTGCTTCTTAACATTCTGGTACTTTTGTGTTGGAACTGTAGCCTGATTCAGCCCGTGGAATGGACTACATACAGTAAAACAGTTGGGAGCAATAAGCATCCCATTATATCCATTTCACTTTAAATTTTCTGCCCATATATGGTGGTAACAAAAATTACTAGAACATATAAGTACTCTTATATCTCGTTCTTTGTTTTCCACACTTCACAGGGGTCAGTATTCATCATAATCTGAAATGACGAGGTAGACGGCCACATCTGCTCTGTGCTCTAAGTATTTCTTTCGCAAATTCTTGATTTCCCGTAAGCAGAAGGCCATTCAAGATTCGATTGAAGGTAAACTTCCGAGGAATAAATCCTCTATCCACCATTTCTATCAACAGATTCCCTGCCACCATTAGATCATCTGATCTCTTCCTCACAAACATTGCACTGATCAAAATATTGTATGAATCTAAATTGGGCAAACATTCTCCGGTACCCATTCTCTCAAAAACTTTCAAGCTCTTCTCAATTTCACCTTCATCACAATAATACCTAATGATCACATTGTAAGTTTGAACATTCGGTTCACATTCGTTGTGTTTCATACTGTCCAAATACTCCATTGCCTTATCCATCTTTCCAACATGACACAACCCTCTGATCACTACGTTGTAAGTAGTTGAATTAGGCGTATAACCCTTCTTCAACATCTCCTCGAACACCACAATAGCATTTTCCACATTGTCTTTTTTGCATAGAACTTGAATAAATGCATTGTAAGTGGCCACAGAAGGAAGTATCCCTGCTCCAATCATTTCATCGAATACCTGGCATGCCTTTTGAATCTCGCCTGCAACCCCAAATCCATGAACCACCGTCGTGTAGGTAACAACATCCATCTCACATTTTCGCCTTTTCATCTCCAAGAAGAACTGCCAAGCCTCTTTTATCTGACCCACCTTGAAATAACCATTAAGAATAACATTATACGTTTTGATAGTTGGCTCCAGACCGCTCTCCACCATCTCCCTAAACACCTCCAAGGCCCTAGGTGTTCGCTTAATTATACAAAAACCATTTGCGATTATGTTATAACTAATTGTATCAGCTCTAAATCTTCTCTTTAAAACCTTAAACAAGTTATAAGCCATTTCAACTCGTTTAGACTTGCATAACACATCAAGAAACGTATTGAAGCTATTCAAATCTTGTTGGCAGCCATGTTCGTGCATCGACAAGAAAACTCTAACAGCTTTGTCGGATTTTCCAGCGGATACGTACCGTTCGGTTATGATCGCGAATGTTCTCGGGTTCGGGCCAAGCCTTCGTTTCCGCATACGGGCAACAAGCATCCAGACGGCCTTATAGTCTCGTAATCGGGCGGCGATGTCGATGGCGTGGTCAAATGAGGCGGCAGAGTGGGTGTAGGTCGGATGGTGTTCCAGGAGCTTGAAAAATTGGAGGGCTTTGGGGCCATGGTTCCACAGCCGTTTTAGGATTTTGTTCACCAGCTCCGATGTCCAGCGGACTGAGCTGGTTTTTATATTTTGGGGTAGGGTTTGTGGGTCTAATTTTAGAATGAGATCGGAAAGGCCGGCGGCATCATCCGCTGCTAGCGGCGGCGAGAGAGGATGCGTAGTGGTGGTGAGGTTGTAGAACGATGGTTTGTATTTTAGAGAAGATACAAGAGAAAAGTGATTTCTCATGTGAAGCCGACGGCGAGGGGTCAACATTTCCGATTACGGTCTCCGATCAATGTCACTTTCAGTCACCGTATTTCTATGGGAGCAATAGCCTCATGTGAATATCAAAACCACCCTCAGGTTTATAGAAATTGCAAATAACACCTTAAGGTTAAGAATCTTTTTCATTTTCTACCTTACAATATTCATATCAATTCTCAATATTACCCAATTCCTTCACCATTTGTGATGGTATACACTACCAAAATCGAGCAATAGTGAATGGTTGTAACATATAATCCTTTAAGGAGTTGGAAATTATGTCTGCAGTTGCATTTTACAGTAAGTTCTTTCGATTCCTTTTCATTTTACCATAAGTTCTTCCCATTTGTTTTCTCTGATAGTCAAATAGCCTGCTTCCTTTATTCATATATGCATACATTGGAATTCGTTTTTTTATTTGTATATGCATATATGTTGTTTGGTTAAGTTCCAGTAGATGCAAAATTTCAGTATTTGTCAATTTTGCTTAAAGAAAGTTTGAATGACAGTTGGTGATTGGAATTTTGAAACAAACTTTAAAAGTAAGCCAAGCGTTTCAACCCAACTAACTCGTATGGTTTGGGTTGGGTTGAGTTATACTTCTACAAGCACTTTGATCGAATTGAAAATTTTCATACGGCATAAGCAATCATTCGGCTAGGTTGTTCAAACAATACAATCCATGTGCACCCCTAGTTGTACCCTAGGAATGGATTTTGTACTGTATATTACTATATATAACCTTAGAATCTAACATTTCGATAAATTTTACACTACATGGAATGGTGCCTCAATTTGGAACTATAAGTATCTTTAAAAAGGTTATTTCCACATCTTAGAAAGAATAATTCCATGTCATTCAAGTGGGGTGTGTCAAATGGCTTAAACCCTCAAGACCATCACATTTTAACACTATTAGCAGGTGGCCACTTGTCAAAAAGATGTATGAACAATATAAGCTTGAACGAGAGATTAGAGTAAACAACACATCAAAAACAATATCCACTTTATGTAGTTTTGGGTCTCAACATCCCTTTACACCCAAGTTAAGGGATTAGCCTATCATTTCTTGGGTTGCTTGCATTTTGACAAAGATCATTGGGAAGAAATCAAGTAACAAGAAGTACTCAAAGAAAACCAATCTTTAAAAAAAATGCTTGGATGAAATTTAATTCACTAGAAGCACTAAGTAAAGAGCAAGTTAACAAAAGTACTAGAGAGTAATTTGTAACAAAGAGCAAGACACAAGAACATCCACAATATTGATATACTCAATTAAACTATATAAAAGCTTGAGTATAAAGAAATTGTAAGAGGCTTGCAAACTTAACTCAAGAAAGCAAATTAGAAAAAACGTAAAGTAGCACTTGAATAAATCGATCTAGTAAAAAGAAGCAATGGACAAGGAAATCCAACAACT